CGACAGTGTCGGTAATTTACAGCACTCGCCTTTGACATGATGGGGTCGCCATAAGCTGGTCAACTATTTGAAGATTTCATGCAGATTTGATTTCATAATCAAATAATTGATCTTAATGCGCCATCAAATGGAATCCGAGCAGTCGTCTCAGCTTTATACACAGATATTGCTAGTTTTATTTTTGTTTTTGGTTTTTTTTTTGTTTTTGGTTTTTGTTGAAAACTGAAAACGTGTCTGTCAGCTGGTCAAAGCTTTTGATCCAATCAAACTTGAAACGAATCGCGCTTCAATGCTGAGCTCAAAAACAAAAAAATAGATAGAAGTTCAACAAAAGTAAGAAAATGAAATATCCAAAATTGACAACGCTCTTTGAATGGGTATTATTATTATTATTATTTTTTATTGTTGTTATTGTTATTTAATGTTGCGTTGTTTTAGCACCTCGGAGGGACTTTCATTTTGGCAAACTAGTTTCCGTAATAATTCTACGAATTTGGTTCGTTTTTATTTTTTATTTTTGCACACAAAACAATCCATCAAAAATTATGGAACTTCAAAATTTAGGGACTGTGAGCTGCAAAAATGCGGATTAGATGGGGACAGATAGCAAAGCAATAAAAAGTCAGCTAACACGTGCCATAAAAGCTGCACAGTGGTGGGTTGATTAGGAATTTCATGGGTTCTAACTGTACACACTCATAACTTTGTCGAAACTTAACAAATATTAAAAAATCACAGATTCATTATAACGTTCATATCCCATAAATTGACTTTGGAATTATTCCAAACTTCCCTCAAACCAAAAATACTCCGATTTTCAAATACATGTGCTTGGTAATCATGGTTATTCGATTTTGAAAAACAAGGCCTTTTTAGTCGGCCTTCAGAATACTATACTAAATTCAAAGTTGGAAACACGATTCTGGCTCGAAATTCCGATTCAAATGTATGTATGTATGGTAAAAAAAACGACTTTAGGATGACCTCAAACGGATGGCTTCCAAAAATCGCATTGGGGGTCATTTATGGAGTGATTTATCAAGTAGATTCTAATAGGTATATGGATTTTAAAATTCTTTAGCAGCTTTCAGCTGAACACAATTCAAGTTTGTGCGGCTTGCAACCACTGTGCCGCATTGCACATCCGCCACTTTATAGGAATTTTCAAAGAACTGCCACAGACTCTTGGCTCAGGCACGTCTCCATCTCTGTCTCTTCTTTGGCCATCATCCTTCAGCCCGCTGTGCATTCAGTGAGTTGTGAGTGATTGATTTTCGTTTGCCATTTCTGCGTCTGCCCAAATACCGACGAGAATTGAGAAACGAGCCAAATAGCAAACTTGACCTCCAGCCTGTCTATGCGGCATATCAATCAAATGTGGCCAATGATTTTCAAGATTTGTACAACATTTTCAACTGTGCCGTGTGCCATTTGTTGTGCATTGCGCATTTTTGTGCCAGTTTTCGTTTTCATTTGCCAAAACCAAAAAAAATCCAAAAAAAATAAGAAAAATGGAGAGACCCCTATATAATTTGGCATTATGGTTAGTTGAGGAAATCGTCTATAGATTTGCATAGAATTGAAGCGATCGCGATTTAAGATCTCCCACTGTGCGCTGCGGCGATTTAATGAGATTTCTTTTTTAATACTCAACTGTTGTTGTTGTTGTTGCTGTTGGACATAAGTTGTTGTTTTTATAGTTGTTGTTATAGTTTTTGGCCCACTTTACTTATTATTTAACATTGATCGCTTGGGCCGTTTGTAATTGGCATTTGGATTTGGTCAGGCGATTTGACCCACTCTTGAACTCGTTTCACAACATTTGAAATGGAAAGTGTTTGGCCCAAAGCATCCCAATTGAAAGCGAATATAAATGCGAATACGACTACGACTACGACAACGAATACGAATACTCTCTGTATTCGATTGCCAAAACAATTTCACATTTTAATTATCTTATCTGAGCACTTTGGCATGGCCTTTGTCTTTTCTGTTTTTATTTATTATTTTTTTTTTTTTTGCTACAATTTTATTGGCCCAAATGATGTATCTATGTAGCTGCTTTGGTTATTGTAGCTGCAAAGACATCAAAAATGCAATTCTTGTTTAGCCGCTTTGAAGTCAGCCGCCTTTTAAAGTTTGTATGTGTGTTCAAATACGTTTTATTGATAGCAATTATTGTATAGTCCAAACTCGAACTCAAAACTCGAAATTCGAACGCGTATTTAGAGAATTGACAAATTGGCTTAGCTGAATCGCAAAAAGTTTTGTTGCATTTTATGTTCAATTTACATAAATCGTTGGGTAGTCGTTGACAGCCACGCCCCATGCCCCACGCCCCATGCCACACTCCTCGGCAAAACGGAACGCTATCTAATGCGCGGTCAACATGACGTATGAGTAATCTGATTTTTATCTATTTTTAATTATTTGCGCATATGTTCAGATGTATGTGATTGAAGCACAATGGCCAGGGTCATTAATCAGTGCACCACAGCACCAGAGAACCACAAAGTCGAAGCCGGACTAAAAACCCCAAGCAAAGACTCCAAGCCAGGTGCCTACGTGCTTGATTAGCTCAATTTTTCATGCAGTTGGAGTCTCGTAAGTCATGGTTCTCCATACTCCATACTCCATACTCCATACTCCATGCTCAAATCCACATCCATAGCCTTAGCCACATCTATTAGCTGGCTAATTCCATGTAAGAAATCATAAACCAATTTATATGTGTTAAACGCCATAAAAATATGAAAGTTTTCATCATAATCGAGTCTGTCGTGGGAATTACCTTTTCGTAAATCAGTGAAAACGGAAGAAGAGCCCACTCCCGCCCCCCTCATACCACTTCTCCCCTCACACCACCCCAAAAGCGCCCCACACAATTCGTCTTTTCCTATCAGCCATGGAAGAGGCGACAACATCGCTTTGTACTTTTGCGGCCGTGTGTAAATATTTGACAACACATGCCTAATTAGTGCAGCTATTGATGGTGACAGCGGAACACCAACAATAACAACACCAACAACAACAGCAACATCAACACCAGCAACAACAACAACAGCAACACTTGCTGAAGAACGGGGTATGGAAACGGGACTGGAAGTGGATATGGAATGGAACGGAACGACAAAGTGTGAGCTCTTTTACGATGCCGTTTCCTGAGAAATGGCCTCAGTGACTGACTGACTGACTGACTGACTAGTTGAGCCTCTTATCTACCACTCAGTAGAATTGCCGAGTTGGGCTCTAGAGCAGGCTGTTTTCTTGTCTGCTGTTGGCTTTGTTTAGTAAGGCAAAACTTATCAATGGGTAATACTAGTAGTAGGCTTGTTAGCAAGCTAATTGACAATGCCTCGATCGTGTAAAAGAAACATGTGAATAAAACTTCAGATACGTAATGAACTAGTAATTGAATATGGAACGAATGTCTAACTGCATAGATTATTTGAAAAATACTTTCAAAGCCCTAAAATGTCTAATTTAATCAATGATATTTAATGAGTTCCAATACACTCAAGTATCTAAAATAATTTATGAGAATTGTTATTTATGCGCTTATTACATGTACTTTCTTTGGCAATAGAACACATACGTTCACGTATTATGAGATCATACAACACATACATGGACTGATCATCAAGGTGTTTTGTTTAATATTTGTATAACGTTTGTCAACCAATCGTTGACTGCTCGGTTCAAGTCACAATGCCGGGCTACTCGAGAGCCTCATCTTATTAGTATGCCAAAGTTTAATGCCACCCAGTTGACGGTGGTGAAACCGACTCATTTACTCATCTATGACAATCATCACCCAAGAGAACTAAGAACCAAGAAGCAGCAACAGCAACAACAGCAACAACAACACCAACAACAATAATGACAACAACACTTGGCGCATTGGCAAAGTGTTGTGCACAAATATTGACTCAGAGCTTCGCAAGTAAGCGCGATTTAAACAATGGACAAACACAGGGGTAGCAGGGGCAGCAGCAAGGCAACATCGACAACAGGAACTGGGCAACAGTCGGGCAACAGAGGACAAACAATTTGTTGACAAGAGCCAGAAGAAAACACGCTACAATTTCCTTATTTTGGGAAGGGGGAATAGAGGAGTGCACGCGAGTCGAAAGTGCGACTCTTGACTTCAACTCGAACGCCGAGTTCAAAAGAGTTGACCGACTTGTTTAAGAACGGCTCAAAATGTTGCATGTCGCATTCAATTTGCCTTGTGGCTGTGGCAAGTGATAACAAGATTTACAAATCGATTTGCCGACGGCGCTTTGACAAATATGCGAGTGTATAAATATATATTTACGAAAACACTCGTGAAATGCACTTTTGATGATCGCCCAGACACCTGAACAGCTAAACACCTGGACGCCGGAACACCTGAGACACCTGAGACCTGAGTATGGAGACCTGAAACTCCAGAGGTGTTAATCTGCCTGATTGTGGTCTCTGACTTGGAGTTTTGCTTTCTTCTGCCGTCTGCAGTTTATTATCATCAAAATGTATCCGCTCGATAATCAAGTTAATTTGTTTAAATACGATTACTGCGTGCGCTTTTTATTTATAAATCGCTGCATACGTTGAAATCGAAATTAGCCGGGAAAAGACGTTAAAAAGAAAGATTTGCCTCTTTTTAATTTTTTTGTTTTTGTTTTTTTTTTGTTTTACTTTTTGCTTTGAGAAGCGGAAGCATTTTAATGTCTACGAATTAAAAACGCCATAAAATAAGAGAATTTAATTAGCACATTTGGCATGATTATGGATAGTAATTGCTTAACGGCGAATCTATTTTTACGAGCACTTTTGTTAACCAGCAATTTGGGAAAATGACTCAACGCTAATGCTAAGGGGGAAGTAATAAAGCAAAATGATTTTAATATCGAAATTTCAGAAATTAACAAGAATTCTGGCACTGATAAGCAATTGAAGCGTTACTCATTTCGTAATGTAAATTTAATTTGTTGTATTCCTTAAATCAATTATCTCACCTGCATCACCCAATAGTTGTTGTTGGCGGCAAATTGATCACCAATTATAATATCCGTATGCATTTAAGCAGAATTTTTTGCATCAATGCCACACGATGAAAAACCGCAAACTATTTGCTAGCTGTTATTTTGTATATTTGCTGTTATTATTTAGCAGTTATGCTTTATTTAATTTCTATGTTTTGATTATTTTGAAAATATTATATTTATTTATTTTTTTTTTTTTTTTGGGTTTTTTCTCTAGGTCACAAGTCACGACAAGTTCAAGGCACAATAATTAACAACAATTTCAATTTATTTGCATGGCACTGGGAACTCTTCTTATTTTTTCTTTCTTTCTTTCTTCTTTATTTTTTTTGGTGCAACAGAGAATCGCTGCTGCCCTTGTAAATAATGATTTTTGTAAATTTTACAATATATTTCTTGAAAATTTGCAAATTGATTCAATTCATTTGCGAGGGTATGCAAATTGTGAACACACACACACACTCCCACACTCACGCACACGCACACAACTAAGAGTGGAACAACAATTAAGAATCATTCGGCTGCTGTTTCAGATTTCACGGATTTCGGAACACATCCTTTGCCCAAATTGAGCAACCAAAAAACGCCGGCGGCTTTTCTTAACTTCCGCGTTTCTTTTGTTGTGTTTTTCTTTTTATTCTTAGCGTCGCATTTTGTGACAGAACTGATAACAGATAGTTGGGAGCTGTCTCGACTTGTGCAATAGAACAAAATGTGGCTGCTCTAAGATCGCACGATTGCACACGATAAAAACTCGATCAACTCGAAAAGCTCAACACGCGACTGCAGTTTGAATTTCGAAAATATTGGAGACAAAAGTTTCGTGAGTTTCGAGCGCTCGTCGCTGTTTGTTGTCTCTTCGCTGGCGGGAACCGAGTTCGTACTGATTGGACGAGCGAAGGTTTCGCGCAGACGAACCTCGCCAGTCAGCTAGCGGGCCACACAAACACACACACGCACATATACACATCCACAAACTTATACCTGGCCCGCTGGCTAACCAGACTCAGCGACTCTCTTCTCCCCCGCTCTGCCGCTGTGTCTGCTGCACACCTTTGCCTTTGCCTTTGCTGTTGCTGTTGCCTGAGCCGAGCCGACTCACCTCTACCTCTCTGCTCTCCGCTCTCCTCCGCCCGCTCAACGCTGCCAGCCTGCTGCTCAGTGACTTTATGGTTTGCTTGCTTAGCTGACTTAACGCTTGTTGTTTGTTGTTTTAACCACTTTTTGCTCATACTACGTATGCGTCGCAACCAGGTGTGCTCTCCCTGCCTGCTCTACTCTGTTCTCTCTCTCTCTCTCGTCTATCGATGAGGTTGCACTCTTATACGACTCCAGCATTATCAGTCACTCTCTCTGGGCACAGCTGTGTGCCAAGCTGATCTTATTGGAGGTTTATAAGAGAGGGAAAGAGAGAGAGAGAGAGAGAGTTGTTTCTATTGAATGGTTTTGCTCAGATTCGCCATTTTAGTTTTGAGCTTCATTGATGTTGTTAAGACTGCATATAAAGCGAATCATTTGGGTTTAACACGTATTCAAATTATACCATATGACAAATAATATGAATTTAAATTGTATATATTTACATTTTACAAGACGTGAACATGCCAGTTTAAGGCTCATAAAAATAAAATAAAAATAATGCATGAACTGGAATAAACCAAACTGTCTACATATTGTTTTGTTTACCCATAAATTGCAACCGCAGACAGGGAAACAAGGTCGGAATAAATAAATGTTTGTTATGTTTAAAATAATCAAACTTAAACATCAAATATTTTTATATTAAATGCAACTGAAAATCTATTAAATTCTGCTTAAAAAGACTATATAAATCATCTGTTATTCCTTTTGCTTATTTCCCCAATTGTTGCAAATCTTTAACCATGCTATGTGACAAGAGTTAATAGTCGGAAATTTAATAGACCACACACAGCTCTCGCAGCAAACATAATTAAATAAAATAAAATCATAAATTTACTACCTAATATCATTTAAGTACATCACATAGAAGAGCTTGATGTGTTGCCAACCGCAAAATCGATAAACTAACCATTAAACATGTTCCTTATATACACATGTATATCTACATATATATCAGCTATCTTGTACCTATATATGTATATGTGCATATAGTGGCTAGTGGCTAGTGGCCATAAGCAATTCCTTGAATCCGTGGTGCCAGGCATAAAATTATCCCACCGCACGCCACAAACATAAAAGCCATTTTCATTTTGACAAAAACGGAACCGAATAGCAAAAACCACAACCCCCAATCCCTCAACCCCAACACCATCAACCCCCAACCCCAACTCTGCCGGAGTCCATTACGAAAGCTGGTCGCTGGCTTTATGCTGGGCCAGAGGGTGCCATTTCGAGTTTTGGATTCGTGTTTGGATTGTGGTTCGAGTTCGGGCTCGGGTTCAGGTTCGTTTTCGGGTTGGGGGCGACACGCGACGCGACGCGACGCTTGTCTAAACATGGGGCAGTCAATAGAGGTGTGGCCTCAATGGCAGCAGTTTGGCGGCGCAGTCGCCACCGGCCAGCCAATCAGCTGCTGCCGCCGACCGAGCCAAAGAGCAAAAGAGAGCAAGCGTGACTGACAGCTCCAACGAGCGAGTGAGCGAGAGCGAGAGAGAGAGAGCGATGTGTAGCAAGCACTGCGGTTAGTTTTGCGTGTGCAGTGGCAACAACAACAACAGCAAAACACACAACAAAATGAAAATTGAAGTCAAGCGAAAAACAACAAAAAAAAACAGCTGAAAACATGACACGCAGGTGAAGCAGTAGACGGCAGCAGATAGACTAGTTGCGATATAAAAATTCTACTACTGCCTCCCAGCCGTACATGGCTTAAGAGCTGTACGTTAGTTACTAACTCAGATACACACACACACACACACATACATATGTAGCTGCCTGTCTGTCTATTGATAATTGACTGCCGTTGCGGGCACTTCACTCACTCATTGTCTTTCTCTCTGTCTCTCTAGCTGTCTGTATGCTTTTCTCGTATTTACCTCGTGCAAATTTGCCATTAATGCCACAGCAGACGTTACGAGCTACACACACTAACAAACACCTACACATACACACACACACGCACACACACACAAACGAATATACTCATATTTGAGATACAAATGTATCTGCTTTTGGCACTGTCAGTTGCGTTTACTTCTCATTGTTGTTGTTGATTTTTCCACGTCCAAGTTGCTTTGTTTGACACATCGCGCTGCCTGTCTTACACTCGAATGCCATTTTGTCAGTCTTATCTGCCATCATATCGTAATTATATATCACTTGCTTACGGCAGATTGCCAAGAAATCATCTCGAATCAAAATATGATATATTCCTAGAGACTAAAACGTTTGCCAGATTGGACAACAAATGTGTGTAAAAGCATTTGTAGAAACCCAACCAGATTCTTATGTAGAGTACTATTAAGAATTAATATAACTACTTAATTTATACTTAGTCCCTTAGCCCTTATGTAACTTTTACTCTAAATGCATTTTATTTCTGAGTTAAATTTGGCTTTAACATTCAATTACAAGTTGCATTTAAGTCAGAAGTCCGCATAATACTCATAATAATGCTATGCTTCATTAATAATTGGGAATTGTTCTTTTGTTATTCGTTTTTCGTTGTGAAATGTATCAATATTGGCGCTTTTATGTCACAATTTTCGAGACTCACAATAAATATTCAAATTCCTTGTAATCCACACCCGCAATCCTCTTTCCAAATGTTGTTCATTGATTTTCTTCCCGCGATATCTGTGGGATTTATGGTTGCTACCCCTTCCCTGTGCCACCCCGCTGCCCCACACGATGGCTCACAAAGTACCTGTTGTTTTTTGGTATTTATTTATTTGTTCTGGGCACTGCAGCTCTCGGTGCCCAATGTGACCTTATCGTTCAACTCACATGATTAATTACACGCTCAACTGTCCCGAGGCTCCTGTTGCCCATTCCCTTGGCCTGCAGTTCCAAATTCGTTTCGGTTGAATCTGTGGCCAAAATATTGTCACGCTTCGAGACAGGGCAACAAACGCTGCCGAAACTCTCTGAGGAATACGGAATATATCTCGAGTGAATCGGCTGGGTTACTTGCTTGATTGATTCCACTTGGCGGCACTTGTTGATAACAACTAAAGGACAACATGCAACGTATTCAAAATTGGTTTCAATTTATTTGTCGCCCCGGAGACACTCGAAGATTACGCTGCAATTTGTTTTGTCTCTCGATTTTCACTAGAACTGCTTGTTTACTCGGATCTTCTATGAAAAGCACTCGCATCAAATCGAATCGAATCGAATCATTTGTTTGCATAAGGCATTTTAATTGAATTCTCAGCGGATTCGAGGCAGGCCACACTGAATATGAGTTCCAGCTAACTGCATAGATCTATAGAGATATAACTATAGAAACATTTACCTGGCAAATTAAACATTAACCCAAATCAGAGCTGTGACAAACAAATGCGAATTCTATGCAAATGTCAGTCAAGATGCAACTGCATCAAGTCAACTGCAACAATCAACAATCGCAATTTATGCGAATGCTAATCAAGTTAACACCATAAAGGCTAAGGCTACAAGCCGCGATGTCTCAGTCTCGCGACAGCGTCTGACAATTTTTAAGTGCGTATCTGTGTCGCGGCTGCTGGCTGCTGCCAACCAAAACAACAACAACAACAACAGCAATACCAGCAACAACAATTATTAATGATTTTGCTAAATGTTACAGAAAATAATAACAGCAAACTGAGCAACTGAGCAGAGCCTTTTAACAATTACAAATGCACACAAAATGCTTCAAGCCGGCGTTCTCGTTGTTTTCAACACCTTGAAGGCCCCAATAGGCCCGGCTTGCGGCTTGTGGCTTGAGGCTTGAGGCACGAGTACTGTGCCAAGTATTGCCGCCAGCGCCAGCCCACATTCTGTGCAATGCAATGAATGATTCGACATGTTCCAGTGGGCGGCAAGCCGTGGAGGGCGTGCCTGCCAGTGCCGCAGCTAGAGAATCACAGCTAGAGTCACAGCGAGAG